CCAGGATATATAAACCTGTACACACACACACACACACTCACACTCACACACACACATAAAATCAGCAGTAAACAACTGAGAGATGAACAGAAGAAGTGAACGACTGCATGGAAGATCAGTGCTGGAGTTCAGACGTCTGCAGATGGACGCTCACAAGCCCTGCCTGATGCTCTGGATGATCTGGAAGATTGCTAAAACCCAAACAAGCATCACATTACAGCCTGATCGCATCACATATAACAACATTAGCATCGTCATATTAAAGCCTGTGTCACGACTAAACAATGCAGACTGCACAGGGAGACACAGACATGAACCAAAACCTCCTATTCTAATAGTTGCATGGATAAAAAGAAAGAAAAAGAACAATTATAATGCATATTTTGACTCATATTAAATATTAAAGAGTCCAAAGTTAAAGCAAGACACCACGGGAAAATATGATAAAAATGTCACTAATAAATATCACCATAGTTAGTGATTACATTTTTAAAAAATGTTCATGCTCATAATTCACATTTGGTTATGTTGTCATATTAGAGTTAAAGTTTTCTTTACACTAGTCTGAAAGAAGAGACACTTCTTTCAAAAATTGAGCAGTGCATGAAAAAACAGTGTTTTGACGACTGGACAGACTGTGGATTGTTGATCTTACACTGTAAGAGGATCCCAGGACACAGCAGGTTACATTTTAATGCCCCAGTAACATTTTTAGCTGTTAAAAACCACAGGATTTAATATGACGTCCGTGAAACAACAGCCTCGTTATGTACAGCATGCAAATAACCTAAAGGATAAACGCACAGATCAGACTCTGTGTAAATAAACACCACGTTATTCATGCAGGTGGAACATCAGCTAGATCTGAGGAGAAGCATATTCTGCATCACTGAGGAAAGAAAACAACAAACAACAAATGGGTGCCGTCAGAATGAGAGTCCAAACAGCTGATAAAAACATCACAATAATCCACAAGTAATCCACAGCACTCCAGTCCATCAGTTACCATCTGGAGAAGACAAAAGCTGAAACACATCCAGCATTAAGACGCTTTTAAGTAAAACACCATAGAGTCCATAATCCATAATAACGCTTCCTCCAGTGAAAAAGTGTTCTGGTTGCTGAGACACTGATGCAGTGCTGCATTTCTCCAAACCTGATGAAGAGACAAACTCATCCTAATCTTGGATTGGCCTGAGGATGAGCACATTTTAATTTTTGGCTGAACTATTTCTTTAAGAGTATTGATGAATCTGATGTAATATACATAGAGCTGTTTTCACGTCTCACCTGATCCACAGACCACAAACACAAAGAGCGCGAGGAGCCACGGACCCACCGGAGACTTCTCCTCATTCACCACACGCTGCAGGACAAACACATTCATACACACGTCACTAACACACACACATCTACTGCTCAAACACATGCAATCACAAGCTGAAGGGTACGAGGTTTGTGCCAAAAAACAGTGGACTAAACATTAGTCATTGTGTAATTGTTAAGATAAGTTATGTTGACGTTCGATGTTACCACTGTTCTGCTGAGACTATTTCCAAAAATTATGGCGCTCCAAATGTGCCAAAAAAGCATTTTGCACAATACATTTGTCTATTTATGTGTTCTAGTCTGCCTGGGAAGTTCATATTTATGTATCTAAGTCGTAATTATGACTTTAAATCACTTTGGCCAGAGTGAGATTGCGAAGTACCTTTTCCTACAAAAACAAAATCGGCAAGATTTTAACCTTACTTCTACAAAACGATGAATAAAGAATGAGCATCAGTGCGTTTTTGCTTTATTCTGTTTTTATTTCATTTATAAAGTTGCTGTTACTTGAATCATTATATAAAGAGTTCATTTGCAAAAAACGATAAATGGCACTTTAAAAAAAAAACAAAAAAAACGCTGATTGCCGTGCATTATTCTCCACATATAGCGTGATCTGAACCCTAAACACGTTTTGTCAAAAAAGCCGGTTTTGTCCACTTTCAAGGCATCGTGAGTTCACGTTTTACTGCAGAAGCCGATAAGCGCCTTGTTGTTTTTGAACAGAAGCCGATAAGTCCATTTCAGCCAATCAGCGCGCTGTATTCAGGTCAGGTGACAAGGCTACTTTCACTCTGAAAACACGTGCTAGCTGAGAGGAGTTTCGTCAAAGCTGACTAAAAGTGATCGAGGATCATTTCGACGCACTTGATGAACCTGTGATATCTTCTTCAGGGCGAAAAAGGAAAATAAAAGCTGAAACGTTTTCACGGAAGCTTGCGAAAGCAGCGCGTTACAATGTTGAGGAAAAAGCTCCGTGTATTGCGTTTAATCACATCCATACAGTTTATGATCACAACAACAACGTTTGTCAGGCGTCTACATTATCATCTGAGGAGATTACAAAGATTAAACCAGTGTTTTTTAAACTCTAAAACATGAAATGTGGAGTTATCTGCGCTTGCTATAAAACAAACTTTTAATATGTAAAAAAAAACCAATTTCAGTTAACTTTAATTTTGTAAATTACCTGTATTTGTTTAAGTTATTATTACTTAATCAAAACAACCCAACTGCAGTTTGATTCATATTACTTGGAATGCGCAATAAAAAAAAAATGTAATTTCTTAAAAAAAAAAATTTTAAATGGAGTTATCGGTTTTTGCAAATGAACTCTTCATATATTCTACAGTAATTGCACAATACTATCGTATAATTCATCGAACATTCGTTCAAAGATATCTGGTTTTTAGTAATGTTCTAAAAATGTTACCACATAAACATTATCTGTAGATTGTTAACGGCATGTTTTTTTCCCCCAAAACATTTTAATGTCTCAAATTTGTAAATGTTGCTACTTATTTCAGAACGTTCAGAAAACATACAACAGTAGTGTTCCCATAATGTCTGCAACATGATACAGATGGAATGTTCGGTTAACGTTTGCATAACCAAGAAAAAACATGCGAGTGGGCATTATAAATGTTTAGAAAACAACATTCGTTTTCATAACTTCATATCATATTTTTAGCTGAGAAAGATAAATTCATCTGAAAGGTTTGGGACACTCATTATTGACAAATCTAAGTGTTGTGTTTGTTTACCTGGATATCTGTCAAATGTGCTGCAGAACGTTCACTGAGCGCTGAAACTTATAAAGCACAAACTGAGCTAAAACAACAGCAGACATAGACAAATGTATTGCGAAAAGCAATAAATATTTTTAGCATAAATATAACGCCATATTTTGAGAGCCTGATGTGTGCGTTTGAAATATTTATTGTAATTACTGTAGCATAAAGTAATGGAATAAAATACATATTCCATAATAAAATGGTAATAACACGTTTCTTCTGATATATGGCACTTTATTGTTATTTCAGAGAATACCATAGTAATACCATGGTACTTTTTTCTTAGCGGTGATTGTGTATTTTATGTGTGTGTGTGTTTATTGGTATATGGTGTGTGCGCAGTGTGTGTATTTATGCACATCGAGTATATCGTTTATATTTGATGATACGCGTTCGTTCGTGCGCGAGAGCCGGTACCGTGGTTTTCTGCACGTGTCCTCTCTGTGTGATCGTCTTGCTGTGTTTCTCGTTCGCTACTTTCATCCGCTGCACCGCCGACATGATGCTGCCGCTGCTGGAACGCGTCGCGGTTGGCGGAAGATCGCGCTGGGCCGGTAAACGGAGCGTATTTGACCGGTGATTCGGTTCCGTTCCAGTCGCTCAAGACGAGCTGCGCAGCGGCGCTCTCACGTGACCCGGGGCAGGCCCCGCCTCCTCGTTACGTCACACTAAGCCACAGCTGACCGTTTCGACCGATCGGATCATTTACACTGGAACCGCACTGATTGATTCAAACTCAAACTCTTGACTTCAATCCAAGCGATTCACAAGCGAAAAACAGTTTAAAAGAGCCATTCATTTTCGAATTTCGACATCACTTGTAATGATTTTAAAAAGCACGTAGTGATGAGTGAAATGGAGCTTTTCGAAATCCGTCGCAAAATGATTCACTGTGTCGAAGTGCTCCGAATCATTTGATTCGGATCGGAGCGGGTTCGTGAATCATTTGATTCGGATCGGAGCGGGTTCGTGAATCATTTGATTCAGATTGGGCACGCATAGTGAATCTTTTTTCTCTGATTTCTTTTTTATTATTATTATTAGTAGTATTATTATTAAACAGTACAACATCAAACCATTAAGACAGTCAGTTTAAGTTAGTCTATATTTTCCTAACAAAGGTTACTGTACCCAATATGGGTTAAACATGGGTTATTCTTAGCGATTGTTGGGTTATTTCTATAATAATACATCCATTTTTACATTTGATGTGATTGGTGATTGGTGGAACAGAAGATACAGTAAGTTAATATATCTGCATGAGTAGATCCATGTATGTGTCAGAATACACTTAAAAATAAGAATGCAAATAAGTGAGTCACTGAGTCATTTATTCAATCGATTCTTTCAGAACGCAAATTCATTGGGAAACTGCTGTGTGCTTGTCTCTACAGTTTAAATCACTTAATCACTTTTCTTGTTTATTGAATTGTTGCGCTGACACAAAGAAACCACAGACCAAAGTTATAACCAAGCTGTTCATATAATCGCTCTAAATGCGTGTGTGTCCATGGAAGACTGCATATAATTTTATAATTAAGTATCTATATTTGTTGCTTCACAGTGGCAGAGCTCAGTAACAACCTAATCTGACAAATGGCAAAATCAGTATTATAGAGATGAGTTATAGAGTAAGTTACAGATTCCTGAAGCAGCTGAAGGTTGATCAGTTTACATGCCAATCAGAAGTACCAGCCTCAGTCCAGAACACAAGTCTGAATCCAGATTCATAATTCTTGACTGATTTTGTTTTCACATTAGAGTTTGATTCTGGATTTCTCTTTTTATCGCTCCATAAATCAGAAAATACTGTCAACAGACAGAAAACAAACACATTTTCACCATGTTTTTAGGAGTGAAATGTTGTATAAATCAGTGTGAATGAGATATGAACAAACCTTCAGAATATAGAGAGGAATAAAACTGTACAGTTTGGTGTTTGTAAGAGAAAAAAAATCCTTAAAGATTGAAATCTACAGACATAAACAGAGAAAGAGAATTTGTTTATTATTATTATTTATTTAAGCATCAAAATACCCTAAATGTGAACATGTTCTATTGGGAATCTGTGGTTTCATTGGAAACAGAGTTTCAGAAAGCTTTGAAAAACAACAACAGCTCAGATGTTAAATAACATTTATAGACATCACACAAACAAGTTTAAACTTGTGTTAAATACTGAGAAAAAGTTCCCACTCACAAAAACTCTGAACAGAAGCTCTGTCACGTCAAACATGCTAAACACGGTAAACACAACTGACTGGACAATCAGCCAGGGGTCACACACACACACACACACACACACACACACACACTCTCACTCACAGTATTTCCATCTGATTCTGACAGATTTCATTGAATTTCATGAGCGAGTAGAGATGTCGAGCGCGCATGCGCAGCACGGGTTTCTTCTGCACATCAGTACTGCGTCGCGTCTGCGCAGAAACTCCGAAACAATCATCAGTTCAGATTAGAAGCTTGTGCGATTAATATTAGACTCATTTTCTGGAATTGCAAGCTAAAATAATAACGCGAGGAAGCCAAAGTAAGAGTTAAACTCATGCGAATGGCTATAAATCTAACATAGTTTCTCACCAACAAATACTATTGGTGTTATTTTGACATTTGCCCAAGTATGTCACGTGTTATTTAAAAAACTGATATTCTGTGAACTACTGCATAAACACCACTGAACAGCAGTGTGCTAATCACTCAATATTACACAGATATCAGCATACCTCCCCAGATAATTAATCAGAAATATTTAAATATGCAAATGAGGCATTATCTAATTAAATTTGCATACATTTCCAGCACATAAATCTGAACATTAGATGAATCCAGGTTCATATTAGAGTTAAAGGTTTTTGGGTTTCTCTTTTTATCGCTCCATAAATCAGAAAATACTGTCAACAGACAGAAAACAAACACATTTTCACCATGTTTTTAGGAGTGAAATGTTGTATAAATCAGTGTGAATGAAATATGAACAAACCTTCAGAATATAGAGAGGAATAAAACTGTACAGTTTGGTGTTTGTAAGAGAAAAAAAATCCTTAAAGATTGAAATCTACAGACATAAACAGAGAAAGAGAATTTGTTTATTATTATTATTTATTTAAGCATCAAAATACCCTAAATGTGAACATGTTCTATTGGGAATCTGTGGTTTCATTGGAAACAGAGTTTCAGAAAGCTTTGAAAAACAACAACAGCTCAGATGTTAAATAACATTTATAGACATCACACAAACAAGTTTAAACTTGTGTTAAATACTGAGAAAAAGTTCCCACTCACAAAAACTCTGAACAGAAGCTCTGTCACGTCAAACATGCTAAACACGGTAAACACAACTGACTGGACAATCAGCCAGGGGTCACACACACACACACACA